AAACAAAAAGAAAGAAAGAAAGAAAGAAAAAGAAAGAAAGAAAGAAAGAAAGAAAGAAAGAAAGAAAGAAAGAAAGAAAGAAAGAAAGAAAGAAAGAAAGAAAGAAAGAAAGAAAGAAAGAAAGAAAGAAAATTTTATTTTGAAAAAGAGCTAAGGATGTTTAGTTTGGAGAAGAGAAGACTGAGGGGGTCTGTGAGTGGTGTGTTCAACCATGTGAAGGACTTCCCCACAGAAATGAGAGTAGATTTGTTCTCTGATCCAGGAGGCAGAACTAGAAATAATGATTAGAAGAAGTCAAATTTAGGCTTGATGTCAGAGAAAACTTGACAGCAATTCAAGCTATCCATCCCAAAGCACAATAGGCTGCTTTGAGAAGTGGCTAGGATCCTCTTACTTGAGGTCTTCAGATAAAGCCTGGATGACCAATCGTTTGGTATCTTGTGCTTGGAATCTTTGTTCAGGTGTGGCCTCTGACATCTCATCCAGCTATTATATTCTGGTATTCTCTAGATCACAATTTGTAAAGCAGAATCATGAGAATAATTTGTTTTATATGTATGTGTATGTAATACATATCTGTTGTTATTCAGTCATTTTCAGTCATGCATGACCTCTCCATGATATGGGGTTTTCTTGGCAGAGATACGGGAGTGGTTTGCCATTTCTTTCTCCAGCTCATTTGGCAAATGAGGAAACTGAGGCAAACAGGGTTAAGTGACTTGCTAGGCTCACACAGCTAGGAAGTGTCTGAGGCTGTATTTGAACTCACACGTTCCTGACTCCAAGCCCAGTACTCTAAACACTATGCTATCTAGCTGCTCCAATACATGCATACATGTATGCATACATACATACATATGTGCACACATACATTATACTACATGTATTATATATGCACATGTACTTAGTTTTTTCATGTTGTCTCCCCAATTAGATGGCTCCTTGAGAACAGGGATCATCTTCTACTTCTTTGTATCCTCAGTGCTTAGCACAGTGCCTGGCACAGAGTAGGTACTCAGTAAGTGTTTATTGACTGACTATGGTATCGGTACTGAAAAAAAAAAACTTTGAAAGACTTAAGAACTCTGAACAATTCTACAATTCTTCCAAAAGACTGATAATGAAGAATGCTACCTACCTCCTGACAGAGAGATGATAAACTAATATGCAGAAGGAGAAACACATTTTTAGACATGGCTAATATGAGAATTTCTTTTCCGTGACTATGCTTACTTGCCAGGAGAATTTTGGTTTTGGGGAGAAAAGAATAAATGCTGGATATTAAAAGAAGGTTTAAAAAAAATACTACTTGAGGTGGTCTCCGAGTATAGGGGAAGAGAATAAGCATTATATGGCACCTACCATGCGCCAAGCACTGCGTAAGTGTGTTACAAATATTATCACATTTGATTTGATCCTTATACCAACTCCATGAAGTAGATCCTGTTATTAACTCCATTGTACATTTGGGGAAACTCCATTGTACATTGCCCAGGGTCACACAGCTAGTAATTATCTGAAGCCAAATTTGAATTCAGGTCTTCTTGACTCCAAGTCCGGTGCTCTAGACACTGCATAACCTAGCTCTCTCCAACTCCACCAGGGTTTAGCTAAAGATGATAACAGCTCACATTTAAATAGAGCTTTACTTAAATTATCTCATATAGAATCACAGAATTCAGAGGTTGCAGAGACTTTAGGTCAAATAGTCCATCACCTTTACCTTTTTTTTTTGAGCCCAGGATCACACAGCTAGTATCATGTGTCTGAGGCTGGATTTGAACTCAGGTCCTCCTGACTTCAGGGCAATGCTCTAACCACTGCACCACCTAGCTGCCCCTATGATGAATTCTGGGAGAGACAAGAGCAAATGTTAACCCTAAATAAGTTTTGGAATCCAGGTAGTTATAGAAATTCTTCATAAGACTGTTATGATATAGATATCCTGTGAATTAGTCTAGACCAAGGTAGGGAACCTACACCCTCAAGGCCTTCTAGGTCCTCGGGTGCAGCCTTTTGACTGAGTCCAAGTTTTACAGAACAAATCCTTTTATTAAAGAGATTTGTTCTGTGAAGTTTGGGTTCAGTCAAAGGGCCACATGCGGGCTCGAGGCTGCAAGTTCCCCACCCCTCGTCTAGACACTCAGTACCCAGAGCTGCCCAAGGATCCTTGCATGTAGTAGGTATATAATATATAATTGTTGAATGAATGAATGAATTCCCCATTAAAAATTGTAAAATCGGTCCTCAGTGACATGATTGTAGACTACTCTTACATTTGGGCTATGAGCAGGGCCAGTCTTATGAATGAGTAACCACCTACTATGATATTGTTAGATTCTGGACTATGCTTGACTCGAAAGGCAGAAATGTGTGTAAGGCAAAAAGGGAATATAATTGCCCATAACTAGTAACTCTACTCCACTTCCTGCCTGTTTCCCCCAAAATCTGGGGCTTATAATGGAGCATCACAGTACTCTCCTGGCACTGGTAATTGATAAGAGATGGTGATGTGGAAGCTGGTATCTAGGCGTTTGTGATTCAGAGTGGCTCCTGAGTGGAATTTGAAAGCACAGAAACAAAGTGATTTACTAATTAATACGTGTGTGCAAGTAGTAAAACTGCACTATACTAAGGGGGAAAGATGGGGGAAGGTTGAGTCAGTGTATGTTCTGAGTGATCCCTTGAGGATGTTTTCCATGGGCAATGTGAGGGTGTTTCAGGCTTTCCCATCCCATTGTTTCTATGGAAGGTTTAGAAACATGGACAGGGTAGGTCTTGGGGCAGGATGGAAGTTAGTGCACACCATTCACTGAGCTTTGATTCATGACAGTACATATATGATGGGTCCTATTGCTAAGCTCCACAAAGCAATATCAGGATATGGGGTGGGGGGAGTATTGTAACATTGATGCCCTGGCAGATATAACCACTTGATGGATGGAATTTTGAATCCCCAGTTTTGTCTACAAGGAAAGGAAAGTTACAGGAGTGGCACTAGTGGACCCAGAGCCAAAGTATAATAGCGTATTTCCATGATCTCAAAGACAACAGAATCACCTCAATGCCCCCCAAAGTCATTCCACATTGGTTGGTACTCTTAAAAATTTTTATCATCAGAGAGTTATGCTTTCATCAATTCTTTGATCTCTGTTAAAATGCAAATTCTCCTAGGAGAGGGCTGTTATCAGTCATTTATATCATGTCAATGAAGGTTCTGAAAGCAGATCTTATTAAGGAACAAAAGAGGCATCATGAGGACATAAGGTTCAGCAACAGTTCAGGTCAGATTAAATTATGTTCATTGAGTACCTGCTATATGTTTAGCTACATTCTGGGAACTCTGCAGGGTACACATGTTATATAATTTCATTTCCATCCTCAAGAAGTTTTCAATCTTGCTGGAAAGGGAAGACTTGGATATATGAAACAAGTAAAGATCATAAGACAGTATAGGATAAAACACTAAGCAGAATAAAACCACATGGCCATATGTACAGACAGTAATTGAAAGAGTTCAGCCACATAGTTTATTATGCCCCATCAAGAAAGATCAGGTCAGCTGCATCTGGCTGTCCAGTGGAAATAGCTATGATATAAAGGAAAGAGCACTATATTTAAAATCAGAAAATCTGGGTCCAGTGCTGGCTCTGCCACTCAGTAGTAGTGTGACCCTGGTCAAGTCACTTCATCAAGTGGACATTAAATTCCCTCATCAGCAAATGGGAATAATAGCTCATGCATTACCTACCAGACAGGGTTATTGCAGGGGCTCAAATGAACTTATATGTACAAAATGCTTTGTAAGTTTAAAAAATTATGAAAATGTCAATAGTAATCATAATCATAATCATAATCAGAACAAAGTCCTCTTGTTCTCCAGTTTGGTGTTCTAGAATACCCCCTACTTTGGGGGACTTTCTAGCAAGATCCCTGGGTTCTAGTTTCTAGTCCAAGCTCTATTCATTTAACCTTGCGCAAGTCACTTCACAGAGCCTCAAATTTTTCATCTGTATAATGTGGCATTTGCTATGGGAAGACTTGTATGAATTGATACATAATGAAGTAAACAAGACCAAAAAAACAGCACATACAATGCTGATGATAATCATGCAAATAAAAGATTAATAAAAGAAAACTAAAACACTAAATCGATCAATATTTATTAAGCACCTATTAAGTGCCAGGCAGTGTGCTAAGTGTTGGTGATACAAATACAGAAGAGAAAGAAAGGAGGAAAGGAAGGAAGAAAGAGAGAGAGAGAGACACACAGAGAGAGAGAGAGACAGAAGGAAGGAAGGAAGGAAGGAAGGAAGGAAGGAAGGAAGGAAGGAAGGAAGGAAGGAAGGAAGGAAGGAAGGAAGGAAGGAAGGAAGGAAGGAAGGAAGGAAGGAAGGAAGGAAGGAAGGAGGGAGGGAGGGAGGGAGGGAGGGAGGGAGGGAGGGAGGGAGGGAGGGAGGGAGAGTCACCACCTTCAAGGACCTTACAACCTAATAAAAGAAGACAACACAAAAAGGAAGTCAGAATTTGAAAGAAGAGGGAGAGGTACCCAACACAGGGGCATTGTTGAGAAGTCCCAAAATAGTATACCCAGGTGAGAAATGAAGCGATGTCTGAACTGAGCTCTCTCTTTAAATGGAGGTTTGGAGTTCATGGCCCCACCATCCAACCAGAGAGGCAGAGGGTGAGGATAAGTTGAAGTCCCAAGGCTGAAAGGATCTTACAGGATGATGGGAGTATCCCAATAATGAGCTCCCTGGAATATGGTAAAGTCAGTCAGAGAAGTCCCAAAGTAGTACAGCCAGGAGCAAAATGAATAGATAACCATTGGTAATGACTATAAATGAATGAATTGATAACTAACATAATCAATCTTAGCTCTGAGAAAAGATGAGGAAAAAACACTATTCTACTTTTGGAAAGATGAGGGATCATAAATATAGATTGATGGCTATGGTGTCAGATGTGGTCTTTGTATCACTTGGTTTGCTTACCTGTTTTTCTCTTTCTGGAGAAGGTTATGGGGCCAGGTTGGGGTGAAAAGTGAGTACAAAATGCCCAAAATCTTTTAAAATATGGCAGAGTGGAGTTTGCACTAGCTGAGCCCCAAGGTCTTCCAGTTCTAAGAATTCTGGCCTGCTTGGAATCTATAGACATATATAGTTTGAACATAAGAGAAACAAGAAGGGACAAAGATTTGAGCCTCTTTCTCACACTCCTCTTTGAAAACTATAACTTTTCCAGACACTGAAACAAATCTTACCCTGCAAAAAAAAAGAAGTCATTCCTAGCTGCTACATACAAGAATCATTTCATTAAATTACCTAGATTCAGCTATTCACAGGACTTCAGTGAACCCTATGTTTGGGGCCACTGGAGCATGGCAGTCCCCTGTGCCAGGCGCTGGGGCTTTAAGAATCAGCAGGCAGCCCTTCCAGCATTGTGTCTGACTTTACAAAGTAATGATAGGCTTATGGGGTACTTGGGCTGGGGAAAATTGGCTGGTATCTTCAGAAGCCACTTCTGAATGAGGCATTATATACCTGAGCAGTTTTTATTCAGCTGCTCATTGTTTAAATCGATGAATGAACAAATGAATTTGAAGCCTCCCAATGGCAAAAATACATTTTCCATTTACCTGACACCCAAGCCCAACGGCCTTGGATAATGAATATCGACAGTGAACTGAAGGCAGCTTAGAAGGCACAGTGGAAAAGGACTTTTAGCTGAGCCCTCTGTGTCCTAACATCCGATGAAAAGAGTGAGGAAGAATGATCCTGGAGTTTCATCTCCTTTGGTTCAGTCTTTCTCAAATGAAATACCAGAGCTTTGAGAAGTTTCTTTGTCCACAAAAATAATGATGACTAGCATTTATATAGACCCTTAAAGTTTGTGGAACACTGGCTTATCTTATTTGAGCCTAACAATCACCCTAAGGAAGCTAGGTAGTATAGTGGATAGAGCACCAAGCTTGGGGTCAGGAAGATTCATCTTTGTGAGTTCAAATCTGGCCTCAGACACATACTAGCTGTGTGACCCTGGGCAAGTCATGTAACCCTTTTTGCCTCAGTTTCCTCATCTGTGAAATGAACTAAAGAAGGAAATGGCAAACCACTCCAGTATCTTTGCCAGGAAAACCCCAAATGGGGTCATGAAGAGTTAGACACAACTGAAAAACAATTCAAAATAATCACCCTATGAGGCAGATATTAGAATAATGACTGGGACCTGAAATTTCATCATTATAGAGAACTTCCAATTGAGGAAATTCCCTCTACAAGTCAGCAGCTTCTCTGCAATTTGTAATCTTAAAGAATTGCCTAAAACACTGTTCTAAGTTAAGTGACTCACCCAGGGTCACACAGTCAGTATGTGTCAGAGATGGCTCTTAATAATAATAAAAAACAACATTTATATAGCTCTTACTATGGGCCAATCTCTTTGCTAAGCACTTTATAATTATTATCTCATTTGATCCTTATAACAACCCTGGAAGGTAGTGCTATTATTATCTCTATTTTTCAGATGAAGAAACTAAGGCACACAGAGGGTAAGTGACTTGCCTAGGGTCACACAGTCAGTACATATCAGAGGAGACTCTCGAACTCCATTCTTCTTGGCTCCAAGGATAGCTGTCCATCCTCTCTGTTTGAGTTACGTATTACAGATGTTATTTAAGGTAGGTATTGAAGATACTTATATTCCTATTTTATGGACAAAGAAACTGAGTCTCAGATAGCTTAAATGAATTGCCCATGTTTACACAATAAGTATCAGAAGTAGCATCTGAACCTAGGTTTTCCTCATTCCCGATCTAGCCCTCCATTCACTATACCAGTTGGCACCTCCATACAGAGGTAATACAGTAGAAATTATTCCACTTCCCATTTGATACTGTACAATTATAACTAGTTACATCCAAAAGCAGTACAATCATTTACAATAAATACATTAAATAAATACAGTAAATTACCATTTCTCCATGAGGCAAATTCCTACATTAGACCCCCTCAGACAAAATTTCAAGTACACACATCCCTCTATTATAGTCAGTCCATTTTCATCCTGTTTTAAGAATATCTTAGGATATGGAATCCTCACCTCCATGACTTTGTCATACTGTTCTCCTAGGCTAGCCCTTAGCAAACTCCATCATCCAAATCCCACACATCTTACCTCTAACACATACCCTCTGTGTGAGGGAGTCATTTAATTTCCCTGTGCTTGTAAAATGAATGGGTTGGATCAGATGGTCTCTGAGGTCCCTTCCAACTCTGACCCTATCTTTCAATTCCAGTTCAAGTCCCAGTGCTTCCCAGAAACTTTCACCAACTATTCTAGCCAGGAGAACACACAAGAATTTTTTAAGAACAATAATAGCTAACGTCTTTATAGCACCGTGAGGTTTGTAAAGTGCTTTAGATAATTATCACTAGTCAGGACTCAGACACACTTATGGAGGACACCCTCTCTCCTTTCCACTAACAGGGACTGCTGACTGGTTGAGCTGTCACATTAGCTGATTGGCTGGGTTACTGATCAACATAAGGTTGGCCATCAATGGTTTTAATTAGTTGTTCTCCCATCAACGGCTACCCTGATGCTGATTAACCTTACCTTAGCTTAAGTTACCTTAGTCAGTGAAAAGGCTAGCTGAAATTGAAGGTGCCACATGAATTGTCTTCCTCCTTTCCTCTGATGATTCAAGAAAAAAGTCCCAATTATCAGTTAGGGAATGCAAATTGTTTGCTGCTGTTCTAGAAAGATCAGAGTAATACTGACCTTGATCAAGCCTCAGATTGTTACTTAGTACCTCTACCTCCCGAGAAACTGATGGGAACACAGGGAGGAAGGAGGGATGTTTGAGGCTGAGCCCAGGCAATCAGAACGCGACGATGGCGTCAAATGCCTCAGTACAAGAACAGCTCTCATTGATCTTTCCTTCCTCTGAGCTCCATGAGCCCCCAGAGTCCCCATCACACAATTCTGCATTTAATTTCATCTTCTCAATACTCCACCCATGTGGGATGTTGCTGGTGTTGGTGTTCTCTTTATTAACATAGACCCACATGATAGCTAGTCTTAATGAAACCAGTCATTAGATGGCAGACATGCAGCTCATTAGAGGCTCAAATCCTTTCCTACTTAGGTCCTATTGGGCTCAGAATAATGACTCATGGCCCATTGCTCACCAAGGGCTTGGCTCATATGGATCTAGTCGCACCTTAGGAGTTTGACCACGGAGGGTTTATTTCTCTCTCTTTGGCTCAGGGGTTCATAACCTGTGGTCAATGGATGTCCAGGGAATCCACAGAACTTAGGAGAAAAAAAATACATCATTATTTTTCATTGTAATAGGTTTCCTTTGTAATCCTATATATTTCATTTTATTCATCTATAAGCATTATTCTGAGAGGTTACATAGGCTTTCTAGACTGCCTAAAGGGGTCCATGATAACAAAAAGGTTAAGAAATCCTTCTTTGGCTCCTTATCCCCACCTGGATTAAACTAGGAAAGTCTACAAGATAAAATTTAAGTGTAGCTTCCCTCTGGGCTATGCCAAATGTGTGACAGAGTCCCTAAATCCTCAGAGACATTAAGGATGAAATATGATTACTGTGTATGAGGCAGCTTTCTTTTCACTCCATAGAAAATGACCAAGATGCTGAGAACTCACAGGAGCCTGTGAGCAAATCCAAAAGCTCTTTCCTCATGCTCAAATTGTCTATCAGCTCACACCCACAGAAGGTGACTAAACTTGGAGTAGTTATTAGGGCAACCTTTAATCCTATCATCACACGATCTTCCAGAGCTTGTACTATCTTGGCATGTCCTTCAAGACCCCAGGCTCACTGCCCTGCCATGATGAGGGATTGGAGAAGGACTTTGGAGGATTGAGATATATATCATTTGCTATTGCTTCATGTATCTTTATTTTCTCTCCTCATCTAAACTACAGGATCTCTGAGGGAAGAGACTGTGTCATACTTTAATGTCTCCCACAGAGCCCAGGACATGCCTATAGGAGTTCATCAAGAAATGTTTGTTGATTGATTGTTAATTATCTTCTCTATTCCACCCCCACTCCCTCCCAAAAGCCCTCCCTCCGCCTTCCCAGAGTGAATGAGTATTGCCATAGAATGAGTATTGGTTTCTGGAGCATATCCCTCATCATCTTGCACAGCTGCCCTTGGGGATGATTCATCACTTTCAAAATATAGGCCTTTTTCATTGATTCACATCACCTCAGCAAGGTAGTTCACTCAAGGTACATTCAGTGCCCCTGAGAATTGAAGCATCCAGACAGGGATAGTAGAAGAATGGGGGAGAGGGTGGGAAGGAGGAAAAGATATACAGAAAAATTAAGAGGAAAGCATAAATTCTCAGGTCATAGTGATGAGGGCGGGGCCCAAGCCAAGATCTTCACCCTTTGCCTCAAAGGGAATCTGACTCACAGGCCCCAGACCCTCATCTCCCTTTGAAAGCCTTAGCTTTACCTTTTAATCTTTATTCAGATGTGCCCTAAAAGCCTTAGGCTCCCTCTTGTCTATAGGCCCCAGAAAGGCCTTCCTTTATCTCCTTTTGAAAGTCCTAGCCCCACCTTGATTTTGTGCAGATGCCTTTCAAACTTCTGCCTTCCTGTTCCTCCATTATCTATTCCCATTATCTATTCGGGGTCTCACAGGTCTCCCCAATTAGAATTCTTACCTAGACCCTTTCCCCAACCCCCTTCTCTGGCCACCCAAAGTTACTTTAGTATTTAAGATCCACCTTGGCCCTCATTCAGATGCTGAGAATCTCAGGCCCACAAGGCTGAGAACCTCTCATGCCCACTCGTCTTTACGGGCATCACCTGGCCTATATGTTTTACCACCAATAAACTTTTCCTCTGGCTGAAGAAGATTTGAGTTGAATTCTTTCAGGCAGGGCCCGGTACCATGATCTTGGGGTCCCAGCACCCCAAAACCCCTAGACCTCTTCAATAGGATCACAAATTTAGAGCCTGAAGGAATCTTCAAGGTCATTGAGTTCAACTCCCTAATTATATTAATGAAGAAATTGAGACTGAGAGGCAAAATCATTTACTCAGAATCCCATCGGTAAATGGCTGAGACAGGATTTGAACTAAGGGCCTCCTGCCTCCAAGCTCAGCACTGTATCCACTATACCACCTAGCTGACTCAGTAGCTTCTTTTGTCTTGGGGAAGGTCCTCATGTGTGTAAATCACAATTATCATTCACCTCATTTTACAACAAAGAAGTGAAGTGACCTAGCTGTGATCACACAGCAAATGAGTGGTAGAAAGGATAAGTTCTAAGGTTATGCACTGGCAGACTCAGTATTGGTTTTTGAGATACTACACAGGGCTTGGAGTGGTGGCAAGAAAGACATGGTCAAGTGGGTCTGGGCCAGGAGCGATGGGCTATAAGCAGGGCCTGAGTGAACTGAAGGTTTGTTTATAACTGAACCTCTGGTTTCAGCAACATAAGGAGCTTCTGGGTAAGGAGAGAGAAATTGCTTCCATCATTTCAGATAAGCAACTGCTAATTAGCAACTCTTCTGTAATAATATAGAGTTACCAGGGGGTACCAAGAGGCTAATCCACTTGTGCTGGGCCCTGAAGCCGTGACTAGCAGGCTGGACTGGAACCCATTACATTCTGATTCCTAGGCTGATTCTCTATCCATGCGCTGGTAAATGTTGAATAACCACCTCTCTGAAAAAGACACTGTGTACATGACACACTTTTAAGTTCAATCTTCATCATAAGCATTTTCTCTAACATTTTCTTAAATCTAAACAATAAACAAAGCAATAAATCAAGCCCTGATCTGCAGCGTTTCCATTTTCAGAGGTGTAAATGCTCACTAAAAATTTAACAATCATCCCAAGCCTGTTGGAGCCGGCACCAGCACAAAAACCCCTGAATCTCTATCTACTGATGGCCAGTTTTAGGTTAAGCACCAGAGACTGTAATCAAACATGGGAGCTATGAGCCCAGGCAATCAGGTCCAAAGTATCAGGAACAATCAGCTGCTAGATATCAAAGCCAAGGAAGCATCTAGGTGGCTCAGTGGATTGAGCCCTGGGCCTGGAGTCAGGAAGATCTGAATTCAAATCCAGCCTCAGACTTTTACTAGCTATGTGACCCTGAGCAAGTCACTTAACCTCTATTTGTCTTAATCCACTGGAGAAGGAAATGGCAAACCACTCCAGTATCTTTGCTCAGATAGCCTCATAGATGGTATGGCCCACAGGGTCATGAAGAGTCAGATACAGCTGAATGAATGACTGAACAACAAGACAGCAAAGTGAGGGGTTCAAAAAGAGGAAGAGGTGCAGCCAGAGCTAAGGAGGAGGTGATGATTTGATCATAGTCAGAGACAGACAAAGAGGGCAAGGATCTGGGATATCACAGAGAGAACCAGCACATCAGCTAAGAACTTTGGCCATGGACAGGTCCAGGGTTCAGAAAAAGTCACAAGAAGACCATGGAATGAAAAGGAAATAGTGAGTGCCTAAGAGGTAGGAGATCTGGGCAAGTCCCTTAATAATACTACTGGTAGTAATAATTAGCTAGAATGTTCACACTTACTCTGTGCCAGTCACTGTGCTAAGTATTTCATAATTATTATCTCATCTGATCCTCACAACCACCCAGGAATGTGGCTGCTATTATTATCCCTATTTTATAAATGAAGAAACTAAAGCAAATAGACTTGCCCAGGGTCACACAGCTAGTAAGTGTCTGAGTCTGGATTTGAACTTGGGTCTTCCTGATTCTAGGCCCAGCACTCTCTCCACTGTGCCACCTGCCTGCCCCTTAACATCTCTGAGATTCAGTTTCTCATCCTCCCTAAGAAAAGCAGCTTATTATCTCTAAAATCCCTGCAGTTCAAACACTCTCTGAGTCAAAGATTCCAAGCCCCAAAGCATCAGCCAATAGCTGTGCTCAAGGACAGGCTGAGCATCCAATAACTTGGGAGAGCTGTAATTGAGAATGGGCCCTGATTCTAAGGCAAGAGTTGTTCTCACTGTGAGGCACTTACCTGGACAGAAAGAAGACATGTTGTGATGCTGAGCCCACAGGGACCAAGTGATACCAGCTGAGTGGAGAGCATCTGCGGCCTTAGGAGACCTAAGATGCTGGGGGGGAGGGAAAGGGTCAAAATTACAGGGTCAGCTCTTACAACAAGGCCACTCTTGTCTACTGCCTGTCTGTTGATGGATGCATTCCATAACACATTTTCCTGAGCCTCTCATCACTTCAGTGAAGCTGATGCTTTATAGTTTTATTCCCATAAACTCCACTCATCAGCAAGTTGTCTGATGAAAACAACTGGCTGTCCTAATAGCCTTTCCAAGTTTACAGTAAGACTCTTTCCCTTAGAAACAGAAAATCTTGTTTGGTCAAAGACAAACAAATCCTACTCACACCCAAATAGCCCTTGGCTGCCAAACTGTTCCACTATGGGAGTGGGTCCATGGAATTCAGAAGGGGAAAAATGTGTTTTCCCATTGTCATAACTAGAGTAGTAACCGGGTCAAGGTGATCAGTGCTTTGTCTCCAGAGCACTGAATTTTAGAGGGTGCTGACTGCCCTTTTACTCTTTCAGCAACTAGAAAGAAATGAGTTTAGCACAAGTACATACGCATACACACCCGTATGGGGGACAGGGGCATACACCTGAGATCTCATTGTATAGGGAATGTCCAGTGAAGAAACTTTCTCTACCAATCCATAGGACCCAATTCTGCAACTGGAAGGATCATTATAATTTTGTTGCTTGTCAACAGAGGACCAATGACATCACAGGTGATGTTGACTCACGAATGAATTGGATTTAAGTGAGGAAGAGTTGCCAAAAGTCTTCAGCTTTACTTCCTGAGTCATCAAAGTTCAATGGCAAGACAAAAGTCAGGACATTTGGTGGTGGCCAGGGATGGCATCTTCAATGTCTGACCGAGCCCTGAGCACACCACCATAGTGCCTGCATCAACTACCTTCATGGTCGTTGGAGCAAATTTTTCCCGTGCACCCATTCTGCCAGGGGAAGTCTTCACATGTTTGGGGTAGATATCCCCCTAACTCACCAATAGGTTTGAGGCATGTTGGTTACCCTCAACCTGATTTAGTCCATCTGTCAAGACGGTTTTACTGGTATGTGGCTGCTGCACACGCTACAGCTTCTTGGAGCCACAGTTAAGAGTTGGGTGAAAATAGACACCAAAGGTGAACGAGCAGCCCTGAAAAGGCCTTGGCAAGGTTTCACGCCAGAGGTGCTAGTCCTCCTGAACACCCCATATGACCCAGAAGGATCATAGATTTAAAACTGAAAGTGAACCTACAAATCATCACACCAAACCCCTCTCATTTTTTTAGACAAGGAAATGAAGGCACAAAAAGGTTAAGTGATTTGCCTAGGGTTGTCAAACAACTAGTGCCTATAACAGACTGTATTTGAACCCAGATCTTCCTGATTGTAAGTCCAGCACACTACTCCATGCTGCCTGTCTTAGTCTTAGAGAGTTATCTAGGGCCATGGAGAGGACTTGAATTGACCAGGGTCACACAGCCAGTAAGGCGAAGAGGCAGGACAGATATTAGCACGAATAATTCATTAAAATAGGAAGCTACTCTTCCCTTGGGTGGCCCACACACTTACATGAACTTCTGCCAAGCATGCCTTCCTCAGTTGCCTTTCTCCAAGGATGGCCATGTCAGCAGTGGAATTTAGAGTCCTGGAGTCCACTGCTGCCAAGACAGTATCCCAGGGTTTCCCCTTGAATAAGGTTTTACATCCCAAGGTCTGAGATCTCTATGTCCTCATGGGGAAAAAAAAAAGTGAAATTGCTTCAAAACAGTGATCTGAAGGCAAGTGTTGCCTGGCTTGCCTGAGGCACCACAGTTGGTAACTGTAGTTCTGCTTATGACATAAACCCTGTCCACTTTCCTTGAGCTTAAATCATCTCTGGGCCGATGCTGTTTTCTACCTGACATAACATCAGCACACCCATAACATCCCCAGTGGCATCTACCACATCCCAAATGCCATGTTTAGTGGAACATAATCTGCTTTTAAATACTGACCACACAAGATAAAGCTGAGGACTTTATCCTCCCTTCTTCCCCATCTCATCCCCTTTCCTTCCCCTAGAAAGTAAGCTTTGCCTTTGGTGATTTGATACCTACAAATGCCTTTATGATATATTTTTCATTTTCAAATGGTTTTGGAAATATTGGCAAGTTGATCCTGACAAGGCAACTTTGAATTAGATCCTTAAAAGCAAGAATAGACAGAGTCCAAATCAGCCCTGAGCTGAAGACCATCTACAATCAAACTGACATTCCAACAAACTTTTATTATATGCCTACTAGGGTCAAGAACAGCTCTGAACATGGCCAGAATTACAGCTTCTGGTCCAACCTACCTGCTTCCTTGGTCTGGAACTTTCCTCCTTAAAAAAAGTCCTATATGAGCAAAGATTATAAATGAGCTGGATGTCATGGTACAAACCTGTAATCCCTTCTACTAGGGAGAGAAACTGAGGCTGGTTGATTGCTCAAGCTCTGGAGTTCTGAACTGCAGCACAGAAAGCTCTGTAAGTCTAAAACCGATATGGAGACTTCTCAGGAGCAGAACAGGGTAGAAGGCACCAGGCCACCTAAGAGGGAGCAAACCGGCCCAGATCAGAGTGGGGTAAAGCTCCTGTGCTGATCAGTATGGGCCCTGGTGTATTACAGTCAGCTTAAATGAGCTACAGAACTGATTGTTAAATTATCAGTGTGAGCATGGAAATTGGCAAATGCTACAAGTTAGGGCTTGATGGATTGTTTTGTAGATTGTCTAGACCTTAAAAAGTGATACAGAAAATGTTAATGAAACAAATTAAACTTAAAAGTGTGTCCTGCCTACATTTTTCTTCTAGGAGATTCAGTTGTTAAACATCTATTAGCATAGCCCTGGGATCAGGCCAGTGAGTGGCTGCTGCTCTTCCAGCCTGGTGAAGATACTCCCCACTAGCCACACATTCAAAGTGTTCGCTATAGCCAGACTGTTCCACTTATTGCCTTCAAAACCTACCTCTAACTCACACAATGACCCCAGACAATTCCAAAGGCCTCATGATGGAAAACAAAAAAGGAGAAAACCTCCAAACTGATGAACTCTGAGTGTAGATTGAAGTATAATTTTTCACTTTATTTTTCTTCCCTTTTTTTGGCCAGTATGGAAATATGTTTTGCATGATTTCACATGCATAACTGATATCATATTGCTTGCCTTCTCAGCGGTTGGAAGAAGGTTGGAAGGAAGGAGAGAATTTTGAACTCAAAAATTTTAAATGAATGTTTAAAATAAATAAATAATTTTTAAACTACCTTTATGCTTTCTGGTCTCTGTAACTTTGCTCCCTCTGTTCCCCCTTTCATCTGACTCCTCAATATCTCTCTAAGTCCTACTCAAAGGAACAATATAATGCAAGGGGAGTAGTGCTAAATTTGTCATCAAGGGATCTAGATTTGAATCTCACAGTCTAATACTTACTATGTAACTGTGACAAGTCACTTACACTCTGAGCCTCAGCTACCTCTTATGTACTATTAGAGAGTTGGATTTCATGGCTTCCATGCTCCCTTCCATCTAAAGCTATTTTTTAAATCTTTTTTTTATTTTAAACTTAAATATTGAAACTTCAATACATGATAATAAAAGAAAAAGAAGCATTATAAACTTAAATATTAAAGCTTAAATACAAAATAAGAAAAGAAAGAAAACATGTTATGTGTAAGAGGAGGATTCAAAATATATAGCAATAAATTTCCTTTTCAAGAAAGCTTATGTAATAAATACTATGCATTGTGTTCAGAGCTCTTCATCTTTCCTTTGCTTCCTTCATCTAAAGCTATTATCCTTACTGCAAGGTTCAATTGAAGTGCACCTCTTAGGTAAAGCTTTCCCTGGCCCCTATAGCCCTCTATGATTCCTGAAACACTTAGAGTCTACACCACTCATGGGGCAATGTGACACCTTGGTCTGGAACTGAGAAGAAAGAACCTCCCCCGACCCCTCCACAATCTTCAACTCTCTCCTGCTACCATGATACTTTGTTTTTGTGCCAAAAAGACTCAGGATCTGGCTCACTGGTGCCCTCTTCTGGTTTCTCATTGTCAATTTGTCCCCTTCCTTCTTAGGTTCCCTAATCCCCAAATCTCCATGGGAAATGATGAAGTCTGTCTTCCCCCTGCTCAGCAACACCCCCCCCCCACCCCCACCCACCTTCTCCAATGCAGCACACAGCTAGGTGTTTTAAAGAGGATTTAATACAAAGCCCTTCAGGAAAAAGTCACAAACGGAGAGAGAATGCTCCAAAAAAGAAAGAAAGGCAAAAAGTTACAAATTAGGAAGGTACTACAAAATTAATCCTGGTTTTGCTCTTCTTCCTGACTGGCCCCCTTCCTTCCTTCCTTCCTTCTCTAAGGCTTTGTATCTTATTTTAGTTCAGTTGTAGCTCCCAGACTGGCAAATACAGCTGGCAAAGTTGGTTAGTGCCTCAGCCTTCAGGAATTTGTCTCCCCAACCCTCCACTCAGGTTGTAAGAACCTCGGTTCAAGTGTCATGGGTGGGGGAGGAGGGTAGGGGAAGGAACTGAGCAGTCCTTAGAGTACATACTATATTCTTTGCCTGGTAACAACCCATGTGGAGCATTAGAAAGCCTGCCCCTGAGCATGCGTAATAGAGGGAGCCTTACTTCAGAACACGTGCAAATATTCTCTTACTGTTTCCTTCAGGCTCACTGCTAGGCTCACTGATAGATGCCACTGGGGGATGGCATGGATGCTGCTGTTATATCAGGGTAGGATAGAAAATGGCATCAGCCCAGAGGTGATTTAAGCTCAAGGAAAGTAGACAGTGTTTATGTCATCTTACTGCCTTATAACTGGAAGTATGCCAGATAGATAGACAGATAGATAGATAGATAGATAGATAGATAGATAGATAGATAGATAGATAGATAGATAGATAAAATGCTGCCTTATAACTGGCTACTGAAGCAGAACTGCATGTACATGAAAAGGTTCAAATATACAAAATCTCACACTTGCCTCTGGGTAGAAGAGAGAGGTGGTGATAGATGGAGAGGGTGTGTGTGTGGGGAGAGAGAGAGAGAGAGAGAGAGAGAGAGAGAGGAGAGAGAGAGAAGAGAGAGAGAGAGAGAGAGAGCAAGCATTTATTAAGTACTTACCATAAACTTCCTACATATAAATACCATGCTGAGTATTAGGGATACAAATACAAATAAGCAAGACAAACCCTGTCCTCAGAGAGCTCACATTCTATTGATTTTTTTTAAGGCAATTGGGGTTAAGTGACTTACCCAGGGTCACACAGCTAGTAAGTGTCAAGTATTTGGTCTGAGGTCAGATTTGAAGTCCTCCTGACTTCAGGGCTGGTGCTCTATCCACTGTGCCACCTAGCTTCCCCTGGGAGATCGCATTCTAATAGGAGAAAACAATACATAAATGGGTGCTGGAAAAACAGAAAGGAAGAAGAGAGGAAGCTGCATGGAGATCTGAGCTTACACAGAATAAGACAGAAAGCTCATCTATTAGAGCCAGAAGAACCCAGGAGTACAGTCCAAGTTTCTGGGAGTGAACTTCTTGCCAGCCAAAGGCTGCCTCTTTCCCCCACCCTGCCTGACATGGCACCACTGTGTATCTGGTCCCTTTTTTGTATTTTTTTTCTTTCCTGATCTGACATGAATGAGTACGGGAATAGAAATTGATCAGATTATGACCTGGTGGACTTTGAAAGGTTAGCAGAACCATCAAAGGTCTAAGAGCTGGTGTACCAGTACAGTTTGTCAATAGTATGAGTAGTTAACTCCTCAGAGGACCATGTACTGAGGAGTGATCTGCTTAACTCAGTTCAGTGGTGAATCAACCCAGCAGTCAACACTCTATGTCTTAAGTTCAAGGGAGCATCCATCTTGGCTCTCTCTTTTAGATATTGCAGACCCAGGAGTGAACTTAGTGATAAGAATGCATTGTAGCAACCACTTCAAGTTTGAACCCACTCTCTCCAGAAACTGATGTGGTAAAGGAGAGCTCTTTCCCAGTTTGGGAAGTTTCTGTACCTTCCCAGTATTCCTTCCCCTTCACAGAAAAAGATCCCTTAAAAAAAGGATTTGTTCTGTAAAACTTGGACTCAGTCAAAAGGCAGCACCCAAGGACCTAGAAGGCCACATGTGGCCTCAAGGCTACAGGTTCCCCACCCCTGCCTTAGACTTACCAGCCATGCATGGTTCATTCCTCATGGCTACCAGATAAGAAATACTATTGACTATCTGATTACAAAGATATCTTCTACCTTAGGTTTCAAGACTTTCACCTTGCTCACCTGGAGAATTTGACATTTTGAACCCCTTAAAGCTATCTCTTTCTCCATGACTTAACCCATTTCCTCCCTTCCTGGTTGGATTAGCCAAAGCAAATTCCCTCGGTTAAGTTGCAATTGGATGGTTCTGCTTTCAGTGATGAAATGCCCCAGCAAAGCATCAGACACTATAGTCCAGGATCAGGAAGCTAGTTCTCTGTCATCTCTGCCTCCATGTCTGGCTCCCTCATCTTACTCCCAAAGTAAATTCCCCTCCCAAGCTCCTCTTCTATTCTGGCTCTGACCCTATGACTCCTAGTGACCAATGCCTAGTTCTTCTCTTATTAAACAAACTGAGCTGATAATTACATCCTACTGGCTATAAACGATAGACAAAAGACAACATGGAGTAATGTAGAAAACCCAGGTTCAAGGCTCATC